ATGCACAGGCAGTAAAATTTAGCTCAGTTACAGAAGTGGAAGTTCTTAACGTTTGGTATAGCAACTCAGAAGTGGCTTGTGAAAGCCATATGGCTAAGCTGGAGCATCCAGCTTAGCCTCTTCACACACTCAGCTTCTCAGGTAGACTGGACAATTGGCCTTATTACCTATTTCCTCCGAAGATGAGGGGGAAGTGACCTCACTAAGCCTGGCAGGATAGCTTAATCTGTGGTGTTAACCCCTTCATGCATTAATTAGACCTAAACGTGTTGGCTCATGAGACTAGTTCTCCCACACTTACATCCAGATTATTTAACACATATATACATATACATACATACATACATATATGTACACACACACAATGGAAAAAATAAGCATATTTATTCAGAAGGTTTAAGATCACAACAGACCAGGGCAGATAAATATTGAAATATTTTAATTTTATATTTACAATGGTACCTCGGGTTAAGAACTTAATTCGTTCTGAAGGTCTGTTCTTAACCTGAAACTGTTCTTAACCTGAGGTATCACTTTAGCTAATGGGGCCTCCCGCTGCTGCCGCACCGCCACCACGCGATTTCTGTTCTCATCCTGAAGCAAACTTCTTAACCCGAGGTACTATTTCTGGGTTAGCGGAGTGTGTAACCTGAAGCGTCTGTAACCCGAGGTACCACTGTATCTGCTCTGGTCTGTTGTGATCTTAAACCTACTGAATGCTTCTGAATAAATATGCTTATTTTCCCCCATCCTCGTGTAACTTTTTTTCTAAATGACAACTTAGGGCCTTTAAAGCTAAACTTTCTTAAACCTACACTGTCCAACTAATGCTGTATTCTTCTCTTCTAAAGCAGCTGATCATAAGACGTTGTTGGGCATTAAGCCTTTCTTTCAGTTTGGGTTCATCATTAGCCAGTGGCGTTGCTATATGAATTCTCTTTCTGAACCCATGCAGAGCTCAACAGGATTGGGTTAGGGCCTCTTGCACGATGGAGCGGGGTGAAAAGGAAATTGCAAGGGGCAAAGAGTGTCATCACAGCATCTAAAGTGCTGCCAGAGAAGCCCTGATAGTCTAGTACTAGGCTGAACAAACATATCTTTTAATAAAGAGGTGCATAGAGATTATAGAAGTTTAAACAGTAAATGCAGGGAGAGCAGTTTGGGTCTGCTTTCATCAGCTGAAACGGCACTATAAAATCAGCTTCAATGTGTCTAATTGATTCTACTCTATAATTAGCACCAAACACTTTACAGTTTGTTACTGCATGCTTTTCTTTTGGTAGGGCCGTCTAGTTCTTTCCTTCTGTGGGGGATTCTTATTTCACTACCGCTGCTGACTAAATTGCCTAAGAGTTTATACAGCTTGCCTGCACCAGCTGTTTCCCCCCAGCCTCTAGAAGGAACCAGTTTGCAGTTGCTTCACTTGGGCTGTACAAAGGCTCTGAACCTCTGCAGGAACCTCTGGAAAAATTCTTTAAAGGGACAAGCTCATTCAGGGTGAAGCCCAGAGCAAACTACTAGCAGGCATTTTATGTTGTTTTTTTCATATCATTGAGCAATTTTGAAAAAATGTAATGGTTTCATAATGTTTATATGAATAAATGCTTCTCTTAATTCTGTACTGCATTTTTTTTTTTAACCAATTCATTTCTTCCTGCAAAGGAAGAAACAAATGTCGCCTGCTAGCATTAGTTCAGTCTGGCTGACAAGCTAGTTAACAGAGCAATCCTATACAAGTCTACTCAGAAGCCAGTACTTCAGTGGGCATGTGATTGCAACCTAAATGACATTTAAAGAATAAGCAGACATTTCTCTGCGAATAACTGTAAATTTATTTATGCTTATGTCCAAAGAAATAATTTTCTATTTTCCTGTATACATCATAATTAGTTATTGATGTTTAAAATGTTAACACTGTTAACTATTTTTATTAAGTGATTTAATGGCAGGAAGATGTGAAAAATCATGACCAAACATCAAAACTTTGATGGAAGGGGGAGCCTAAGAGAGTCTGTGTACACCCTACATTGCACAACTGCATTGTAGCATAGGCCAGTTGTGTTTTAACTACCTGATAATTGCTGCTACCACTTCCCCACTCAGCTCAAGGAAATACTAAAAAGGGGGGTTTCTGAGACAACACTCCCAGTGTTTCCCGCCAGATCCCTCTAAGATTAACGAAGGGTAAATCAGCCCACATCTCCCTGCCTCTCCAGAGATCAGAGCCCTTGTAGTTCTTTATAACCCTGAATCTTATTCTCCAATAACATGAACCCAAGAGGCCTAGGAATGGGGTAGATTACAATAATCCTTGAGTTTGGCAAACACACATGTCAAAACCCCAGCAAACAAATTATAAGAATGGATACAGCAGGTTAAAAGTAACTGGCGTGCTGGGGAACTCACAGACAGACTTTGCAGCCTATGGAGCATAGCTGGTCAGTTGCAGGTTTTCTTGATGATGGAATGGACCCTATTGGGAAGGACCACAGCCCACTGTCCCCACACCATACATAATTTAGACACTTTTTATTATGCTAAACTGAAAAGCCCTCGGTGCTGTAACCTTTTCCTCATATGGTTGTTTCTCCAACCCCTTGGTCATGTTGGTTACCATTTTCTGAATCTTCTCCAACTCCACAATATCCTTTTTGAGGTGGGGCAACCAGAACTGTACGCAGTATTGAAAGGCAGCCAAATCAATCAGTGAATGCTATGCAGTACGTTTTAAGAAATACTTAAAATATGGAATATTTCTTTTACTCCATAAGAAGAAAAAGGATTTGTTTTTGTTCATTTGAGCAATAATGCTTGAACACAGTTGTTAATAATAATAATAATAATAATAATAATAATAATAATAATAATAATAATACCTTTATTGTCAATGTAATAAAACGAGATGAGCGTCGCAACCCCAGAGTCGGCCACGACTGGACCTAATCATCAGGGGTCCCTTTACCTTTAGCTTTACAACCTATGTACAATGAAATTAACCGAGCCTCCCTCCCCCCAAACACTCAATCTCATTGCACTCTGTGTGCTTGTCGCACAACACACCAACCCCAAAAGTCAGTTGCACTATATTATTTTCTGTTCAGCAGCCTAACAGCCAAGGATAGAAACTGTTTTTTAGCCTGTTGGTACGACTGATTATACTTCTCTATCTCCTGCCCAAGGGTAGAAGATTAAAGAGGTGCTGGCTGGGGTATGAATCGTCCCTGAGAATTTTTCTCGCTCTCCTAAGGCAACGATCCCTTGCGATGTCATCTAGTGGGCTCAGGGGACAGCCCATGATATCGTGTGCTGTGTTTACCACCCTCTGTAAAGACTTTCTGTCCATGGCTGTCAAGCCAACGTACGACATTGTGATACAATATGAGAGGACACTTTCTATTGTGTACCGGTAGAAGGAGGTCATCAGTTGTTGTTTAACATTGTTCTTTCGCAAGGCTTTGAGAAAATGGAGTCTCTGTTGGACTGAATAAAGATGCAGTCTACAAATTTGAGATGCAAAACCATGTGCAATCTACTACAAAGAAAAGCAGGAATAGAACTGTGAGTTGAGGCCTTATGAAGAGCAGTATGATGGGTGATTGCCAAGGAGTCACCAAAGAGCTTGTTTAGGACTGTGTGGCATGGTTTTGATGCAAAAGTTCAGTAGAGCAATTTGGTGTTGCAGAACGGAACCACCTGGCAGAGAAGGAAAGATTCTCCCAATTGCTACAGAGTGAATCCGCCTGCTACTCTAAATGGGCAGGCTGAGCAGGGCTAAATCCATTTGTGTATCTAGGTTTATTTCCAGCTCGACTTTTGTTAAAATCTCCAAATACGTTCTGTTTTTAATTACTAATAGAATAAGGATAATATTCAAGAATGCTATATCACTGTTCAAAATGCATTTGGGATATTATCTCTCCATTCAGCACATTGGAACATGAAAGCCAAATTAAATTCAACATTTTTTGTACTATAATGTAAGACTGCCGTCTGTGTGCAGTTTCTGAATATTTGAGCTGATTGTAATAAGACTCAGAAACCGCATTTGTAAAAGGAAAAAAATGTTAATTATTCATTGTGCATTCTGTACTACAGGGTCAATTTATTGAAACTGTAATTTGTTTAAGTTGCATCTGGATGTAAAATATATCAGAAGTAATTAATTGTGTTCAAGATGTGATGAGGTAGATATATCCATAAAGGACAATTGAAAACAGTAGCCGTGTGGTATTGATTGCCTTTTTTGAGAGAAGGGGGGAAATCTTGTCCCGTTTTTAAATGTTAGCTATTCAGAGAGAAAAATTCTCTCTTGGGGAGAATGTTTTCCAGGTTGCTTCATTGCCAGGTGTTTGACATTGAGTGGAGCTTTAAATGAATGAAGCTTATGGCAGCCTTTGGAAATGACCGACTCCAGGGAATCTCAGCTTCCTGCTGTGAAAGTTTCTATTTTCAAAGCACATCAGTTTTAGTAGGAATGTTACAGTGGTCCCATATGCTTCTTCTGACAGAGGGCTAAGTTTCTTCCCTGAATATGAGACAGCTACTGAAGAGGTTTCCTTTCTGCTAACAAAATGAATTTCAATATGTTGCCAATGAACAATCAGTACGTTTCCAACCGTCAATGGAATTTTAGCTCCCTCTCTTGCTAATGGGAATTTGCTTTGTTTTCCTTCCTGTCTTCAGTACATGCTACGGATACCCCACTTTGTGGGTTCTAAAGGTGGATAGGAATCACCAAAGCAAGATGCCCATTTGCTTTGAAACTCATGCTACATTTTGCCCCCCTTGCCCCTTCCTCATAAACTCTTTTTCTCACTCTCTCCTTGACCTAGCAGTAGGAAGCCTTTGTCTGAGGTGTTCATCTGGAACAACTTTTCCACACTTGTTTTCATGTTCTGTTAGATTACAGGGCAGCAGGCCTACCTTTGAAGCTCCTTTCTCTTTTGTTTCTTTGCAGTGCACTCCAGTAATTAACTTTGTCCTTCTTTTATTTGTTCCAGTCAATCGCAGTCCACTCTGCTGAGCATCTTCTCCCAGGAGTACCAGGTTAGAAGTTTTCTCCTTTGTGAGGGTTGACAGGTGCCTAATTGAATGATGAATGTCCCTTTATTTCTTTGTAATTGAACTGCCAGCTTTCTGATTGGTTTGGAGGATGTTCCCCTTTCCACTTCAAGCACCGCCTGAGTCTCAGTGGATGGCTGCCAAGCCTACCCATCCATCTGTCTAATAACATCTAGCCTTTGCTTATTTGGTGGACCTGTAATAAATTATGCTAAACCATTATTATTCTGACAATAATAATTTCCCTGTGTTGCGTGGTTCCATGTGCTAAATGTTTGCTGACTTGCACTGTCAGTGCCGCTTTCCATGGCTGACAGAGATGATGATAAATGACCATTGCCGGAGTGGCAGAAGGCAAGAGAGGCAGAAAATGGAGTCATTTATCATGAGATGACAGGTGTCAGTCAAGTGGCAAGTCTCAATGGAATTACTTTTTGTAGTTTTCAAATAAGTTGTTTTTAAGCAATGTTCTTCCTGGTTAAAAATGCCAATTGAATTGTAAAACCAGAGTGCAGAGGACTTGGGTGGAATTGATTTGAAGGGAAATTAATATAAAGGTTGAAAGAGAGAACAAGTTTTTCTCTGCCCTCTGCAACCCTCAGCAAACTTATTTAGATTCAATTACTATGACCTTACTGCCTTTTACATATATGCTGTATTGCAGTACAGTCAAAAGATGTTTCATTCAATGAATAAATGAAAAATAATTTCCAGGCATTAATCTAGGATTTCAGGGCTTTCTTGGGCATTCATGTTTGGTGCTGGCTTTCTTTTTGACATATCATAAAGCTCTGTTGTTTTTCTTTTAAAGAAATTAATCAAAAGAACACATGCCAAACATCACACTCCGGAGGCAACCGAGACTTACTATCAAAGGTATGAATTAAGACCATTAACAGGAGTACTTGCTAATTTGTGATCCAAAATATGTTACAGATCATAATTTCATTGTCTGTGATTTCTTAAAGAACATGCATCCTTGTGTTAGAAGACTTACCGTTTTAGATCTACCAGTAAGCTTTCCAGGATAAGTGGCACTTAGCCAACTTCATGAGAATACCTCTAGACCACAATTCAGTGCATTGCTACGCATATGGAAGTCCCACTGACTTCCATGAGGCTTAAGTGTACATAATTTGCTGCTGGATTTTAACTTTGATCTGCGGCAGTATTCTTTATTTTGCATGCTAAGGGGCAGATTTAACTATCAGGTTCTGTTAGTGAAAGCTAGCACAAAGACCCCTGCCACCACAATGAGGCTTCCCTCCTCCTGTGTGCCCCCCCCCATGCCTTTCCCAGATCTGCTGTTAAAACCCCCAAAACTGGGTGGAGGAGGAAAGGGAAGGTTTTGAGTAAACAGGAGGAAAGGGAAGGTTTTGAGTAAACAGAAATGCTTGTGTTGATGCAACGATCTCCTTACCACTACGCTGAATTCCACCCAAAGTTTCATGCTTTCCTCAGTCTAATGAATAGTACTGGGGACACATATATTTACCACGTTAAGTGTGCCAACATTCTAAGAAACATTTATAATTTTAGCTATTCTGTTATTAAATAAAAATGGCATCCAGATATAAAGGATTTACAACTTGGGACTGTGCCTGTTTTAGAAACAATGATGTCAAATACTACTTTTAAAGGAGGCATAAACCTTTAATATGTCATTTCATAAAACTGTTACGTGATTATGTGCACCTGGAGTTAATAAATTGCAATTGACACTTGTTATATGTTATCTGTAGCTCTATTGACATAGACCTCTCAGCCACATAATTGGGGCGTATTGATATCTCGTAGAGATGTGCAATTAAATTTTTACTATATAGACCGACATGTGTAAAGTCTGCACAGTGAGATTGTACCTATGATTATGGATGTCTGATATTTATGATTTAACAGTATCCAAATAAACAAAAGCATTTTAGAACTTGGCCCAAGCTGACTACATAGTACACGTATGAATCTATTATGTAATAGATATTCACCAATGCAAAAACCAGCAAAAGTGTACTATACTCTCTTCCATTTACAATCTGTTGCCTCATACTAAAGTAGCTACAGTGGTTCTACTGTCTTCCTTATAGCTGCTATATTTCATTGCTCCCAGATTAGGGGGGGAAATTACATAGTGAGTAGATCAGCCAGAGTTAATCAGCAGGGTATTGTTACTATATAGACTTGTGTGTTATAATGTCCTTGTTACATAAACTATGTAAAATGATGTATAATGCATGAAACAAACGGGAACAATATCATGTAGTGTAACTTTTTTGTTTTTAAAATGTTATGCATAAAATGTGGTTTGTAATGTTGATTATACAATCCCAGAACTGTGAGAATGTTTGTTTTTAAACATGTCACGAGAGATGTTATTAAAAACACCCAAGTCACTCTGGTAACTGTTGTAGCCAATCTCATCTTGTGTATCAATCGCAGGGATAATTCTCACCGAGATCTGTGAATTTAATACTACTTATTATCCAAATTCTCAGTTTTTCTTTGTTATTATTATTTTGTATGCCCGTTTTTCAAAACCAAATGTCCTCCCAATCATAATTGGAAAGTTATGTACAAAAAATTCAGTAAATTTTATCAAAATCCTGTCACTAAGCATCACAAACAAATTGGGAGGAAAGCCACTCTAAAACGAACAGAGCATCCTTGAAACAAACATAAAAATTGGTACTGCCAGCCTAACATCATGAAATCCATTAACTTAAGCTAGCAGTTATATTTTTATGTTTGTTTTAATAGCAGGCATAATTACAGCCACCCATCCCCTCACCCCCATTAGACCTGTGACTCATATCAACCTACAAAACTCTTGCAGCAAATATTATCAGTTCAGCTTGCAGTGGCAGTGCAGCTGAGGTGAGGAGTGATGTGCTAGGGCTAACTTCTGCTGTTCCCCCCAACAGAGCCATAATGAGTATGGGATAAAACAGCTACTCTCAGACAACATCCACACCATACATTTAAAGCATGATGATACAACTTTAAACAGAAATGGCTGCTCCCAAAGAATTCTGGGTGCTGTATTTATTTATTATATTTAGATACCACCCTTCATCCGGAGATCACAGGGCAGTTGACGGCATAAATTTACAAAGTGAAAACACAAAATACACAATAAAAACAGAAACAAAGCAAACCAATAACCCTCATCCCACAGAAACATACCTGTTTTTAATTTCTTTTATTGATAATGTGTTGTTTTTTGTGACCAACTTCTGGACTCCATCACAATGAAGCAGTGTGGATAAATATTGTGGAAATAAAATAAAAATAACCTATATTATTACAAATTATTATTATTATTAAATTAATACCCTTCCCATCTGGCTGGGTTTCCCCAGCCACTCTGGCTCCCAATAGAATATTAAAAACACAATTATTAAATATTAAAATATTAAAACAGTCCTCTAAGATAAGCTGTTGTAAGAATGCTGACAGCATGTGTTTTAATCTCTTACTGTTAGTTTTAATTACCTGTAGTTCATTAAGGGTGCTGAGAGTTGTTAGGAGACCCCTATTCTCACAAAATTTAAATTCCTGGAATTCTCTGTGGAGGAGGATTGATTGTTAAACCACCCTGGGAACCACTTCTCAGGGAGATGGAACAAGTAGGGTCCCCTCTGTCAATCTTAACACACACAGAAGTCTGTAGGGAAGGTGGTGGTTTGTTAGGTATTTGCCACCTGAGCATTTAGGACTTTACACACCAATGTGAGCACCTATTTTTGGCTCTGGAACTGAAGCGGCAACCAGTGCAGGTTCTTTAAAATAGAGGTTAGCTGAGATCTAAATGGAACCCCTGCCAGTAATCTAGCACTGTATTTTAAACCAGTTGAAGCTCCTGAATACGTCAAGCGCAGGCTCATGTACCGCACACTGCAATAATCCAGTCTGGAAGTTATCAGAACATGGAGTACAATGGCCAAGTAATTGTTGTCCCAAAGGGTCCATAGTCTGTGAACCATCTGGAGCTGGTAAAAGTCACTCCCAGCCCCCTAGGTCATTTGAGAGCCTCATTTCTTACTTATGTGTTCCAACCTTAATAGTTGTTCTTCTATTGTTGACCACTGAGCCACATGTGAAAAATTAGCTTATTCCAATCCACTGACAAACCAGCTTCCATACTCCAGTTTTGAGTATTGAAGTTTGCATGTTCTTTGTTCACATTAAATACAGCGATTACTTCCATAGATTTGTTGGGGTTCCCTGGATAAGTTTCTGAATGTACATTGAATAATGGGTTAATTACTGAACTTTGTGGGTGTGTAGGGGGACACTGCCAAGACCTGCTCGTCATCTTGGAAGCAGAAAAATTTAAGGGCTGGTGTTTGTTCAGTTCATATACAGTATACGGTGGAATTCAACACTGTACTTTGCCAATCATTCTGTCTGTGCAAGCATTGTGGAATGATCCCCCTAATCTTCCCACACATGCTGTTCTGACCCCCAGAGCCAGTTCCCACACATGCAATGTGGTGGTGGTGGGGATCTTCCACTGATGGCACTTATTAAGTGAATTCACAGTGTTTTAAGAATGGTTTAAGGAAACCTATTTCAAATCATGGTTTTGCATCCTGGTTTCTGGCTAGTCTGTGTCCTTAACAATAAACATGGTTACAGAAAACAAACCATAGCTGAGGATTATTACGCTGGCTACATCATTGTTTAATGACCTCTGTCTAGATTATCCAGTGGTCTGTTGACTGTTTCTTTAACACGATAATTTGTATCTCAGGGGTCATTACAAAGCATCACTTCACCAAGAAACCTTATTATATTTAGGCTGCAATCCTGTATACTCTTACCTGAGAGTAAGCTTCACTGGACATAGTTGAATTTACTTCTGAGTAAATATGCATTGCACTGTTAATGTTTATTTAAATAAAGTTTTAAATAAGGAAGGTGCAAGTTACTTATTAGGTAAAATATGTTAATGTTTGCACTATGCTAATAAACAATGATCCTTCGATTCATTTATTTAGGTGGCTGTGTAAGTGATAAATAAAACTAAGCAGAATTCTTATTCAATAAAATATTAATTTGGGAGTCTGTCTTTTATTTATCATTAAAATACTCTGTCTCTTTGTCCCCCAAGACTAACTGTAATTTTAGAGCTCTAGGAGAGAAAAAAATCTAAGTTGTCTTTTCTCTTTTCATTCATTATGTAAATTCCAAAAGCAAGCTGCTTAGGTCATTTTCTGACCTGTGCTGCAAATATCAGGGTCAGCATGAATGTGGAGCATGGACTGAGAATAACAGGTCAGTAGGTTCAGGGTAAAATGCATAACATGGTGGAGATATGTTTGGTCCCTAGTGAGTTTAATGGTAACTATTTCCAACAATGGAATAATTAACTCGATAGCCACCCATTTGACTACATGCGGATTCTGAATATTCTCATCCAAGCATACCCTTAAGTGCTGTGGTTTATATTTCATATGAGAGAGAGAGAGAGAGAGAGAGAGAGAGAGAGAGAGAGAGAGATTGAGAGAGATTTCACAGTAAGGGGAGATGTGCCAATTTCTCTTAATGTTGCAGCATATGCATCCTTCTTCCTGTAGTTCTTATTTTGTTTTCAATTTCTCCCCTGCATTTCAATTGATAAAGAGCCTCTAGGGTAGCTTGATAACTTAATTGTGTATTTATTATTATACTGTAAACCACATTGTGATATTTGGCCAAAGGGTGGTATGTTAACAACAACAACTAATAATAATAATAATAATAATAATAATAATAATAATAATAATAATACCAATAAATATACCACTTTTTTCATTCTGATAATAATGACAACAATAATAAGCCTTGCTTGTTTAGCTACTTGAAACTGATGTTGCAAAATACTGCATGAAAGAATGTATGGTAAAGGACCCCTGAACATTTAAGTCCAGTCAAATTTGACTATGGGGTGCGGCGCTCATCTCCACTTTCAGGCCAAGGGAGCCAGCATTTGTCCACAGAAAGCTTTTCCGGGTCATGTAGCCAGCATGACTAAATCCCTTCTGGCTCAATGGAACACTGTGATGGAAGCCAGAACACACAGAAACACCATTTACCTTCCTGCTGCAGCGGTACCTATTGATCTACTCATGATGGTATGCTGTCAAACTGCCAACTTTATGATCAGCGAGCACAAGAGGCTTGGTGGTTTAGACCACAGAGCCACCCGCATCCCAGAGAATGTATGACTAGCATGGTATAGCGTTCTGCAGCTTAGTCCACATACTACTTGCTAAAAGAGCCCTGCTGGATCAGCCAAAGGCCCATCTAATCCAGCACTCTGTTCTCACAGTGCCGAAACAGGTGCCCCTGGCAAGCTTGCAAACAGAACCTGAACACAACGGCACTCTTCCTACCTGTGATTCTCAAGAAAGCAGAGGATGGGTATCACCTGTGTGAGTGCAGTCAACTTCAGTCACCATTTTTGTGGGTTCTGTTGGAGGTTGATCTTTCATTTCTATGTTCCATTGCACCCACTTGCTGGCTTCCATAGCAGCTGCCAGTGATGTGACAGTGCTTTGTCTGTACAAGCTGTGAATGCTCTTCTTGGTGGTGAAATGGTGATACTGCAGACCTAAACACCAATGCACCTACTACTTGAATGGAAAAGAAAGTTCTTGTCAGAATTTGCCTCCTGCAAACAGAGGGACTCCTGTCCAATGGATAAATCCCCCTGATTGAATGAGAGGAAAGAGGCAATATTTGTTGACTCTTCCCTCCCCTTGAAGGTACTTATGTACTCAGAAACCCTTCTTTGGAAGGTTGTGGAGATCCTCTGGAACAGCATGGGAGATGGCTCTGAGGAAACAAGGGGAAGCTTAAACATCTTCTCCTTTCTGCCAGTGGGAGCATCCTGAGTAGAACTGCATTCAAGGGAGTCTTCCACCAACAAGTGCAACCTCTGATTCCATTGCATCAACTACCCAAGGGCTAATCATCTTCTTAGCCATTAAAGTACAGTTCTCTAGGTGTGTCATTTGCAAAATAAATATTGGCAATTCTGACTAATTTTATAAATGTATGGAAATTCATATCCCAGTGAATGTTGTGAGTCAGCATTTACTTCTTCATGCCTGAAATGTGGGGAGACACACACACACACACACACACACACACACACACACACTTGGAACCATTCACACAATTGACCTGAGATTGTTAGCGTTCACCAAAATTTTGACACTTACCATTCACATGTCCTGGTTCACCTGACATGGTAAGCCAAACTATTGCTTACCAGGATCACATGAACATGTGGGCTCTTGGAAAGGAGCTCACAGCTGTTTCACTCTTCCCTGTCCTTTTAGCTTCTGCACTGCCCTGAGCTAAACCTGGCTTGATGTGTTGTCTGAACTGGGGCTCATGGTTAAGTGCTTTCCTCACTAACCATAAACTGTAGTCAAGAACAGACCATAGTTTGGCCTATCATGTCATGAACCAAAGCCCATATATCTTAAACTATAATTATGAACTTTGACCTAGCTATTAAAAAACAACATACTTGGGTACAGATACCTATTTTATAGAAAGCAAAAGATTGCTTTCAAATATTTGTGAAGTGCTTTGTGAAGTAGGGTCATGGGGTCCCATCTAAGAAGACAAACCTGCAAGAACATGCTTATGAACTAAAGGTGGCAACCATTTTGCACACGTTTGATTGGCACACGACCGTGCGTGCCGTTTTTGGCCCTTGTGGGGGCAGGATGGGCTTAACATGCACTCCACTGATGCACACGATGACCCGGAACGAAACCCTTGTGCAAACAGGGAATTGCCTGTACACCCACACTTCAAGTTAATGGCTTTTACTGACTTGCAGGATACACTGCTCTTTTTCATTGGACATCACAACTGCCTTCTTTAATGTCCCTCCTGTGGCAATATTTGTTGGAGCTGAATGTGTACAAAGTATGATAAAAAAAATACAGGCAGCAACCATTTTGCACAGGGGTTCCATTTCAGCACACATACACATTGGCGTGCATACAGGGTGGCGTGCATAAGGCCACCCTGTTCCGCTCCTGCCCACTTCTGGGGCCACTTCTGGGTCAGCAGCAACGGGCGTATGCGTGATCAGTTGGACGCACGTAAAATAGTCACTGCCTGTAAAAGTCATACTGCCTGGTGTGGCTCCCGGGAGGAGGTAAATAATAACAATCAGGATTTTCCTGTACACACTTAACCAGGAAAACACCACTGAACTCAGTGGAACTCATCTCTGAGTAGAAATTCAGAGAGTTTGAAGTCTCAAAGCCAGCCTGAGGAGCAGTTCAAGTGAGCTCACATTATAGGTTCATGGCTGGCTTTGCCCACTGAGACCAGCTTTCAGACTACTCCATCCATAAGCCACAATCAGCACCTCAAATGTAGGACTTTAATCATGATGTGGCATAGATCTTTCTGATTTGCTCGTGAAGGAGAAGCAATAGTAGAGTTTGGTCACCAGGAACTGTTTTGCAAATATTTATATTTTAAGCTAACTTTACTTTCTTCAATCAGTTTCTTCCTGGAATTTTCCAGAGAGGGAGAAAGAGAAAGAGAGACTTAAGACTTTTCTTTAAATCTGCAATATTATTTTTTATTTTTGTATTGTCTAGGTACCTTAATGGAGTGATAAAAAATGCAGCTTCTCCTGTATTATTGGACCTGGCCAATGAGGTAAAACATTTTTGAAAATCATCTTTCTCTGGTAAACATAAGAGGCTTATCTTTAGTGACTTTTACTTAAAACTATAATTGGTTTCAAGATGCATCACACATTTAAAATTTTTCTGTTGTTTGTCAGTACTTACAGTAATTAAACAAAATACATTTATTAGTTAATCAGTTAATGTAATTAATATTTTACCTTCAAGGTGAATGTGCAAATAGCACATTTATTCTTTTATTGAAAGGTTCCTTCCTCTTCCCTTTTTAAAAGAAATCTAGAAAGAGAAGAAAAATGCTGATTTTAAAATGCTGATTTACTTTCATCTACTTCGGCATTTTAATAATTAATGAATTTAATTTCGTGTTAAGTTTTCTTTTCATAAAGATAAACAAAATGTAAGATTTTACAGTAAGTGTCAAAACAATTACATTTATTAAATCATCCTTTTAGCATGTAAATTATAGCAAAAGGAAACAGTTTAATATTAATTTCTGTTCTTCATGTACACTGTAGTTCAAAGAACTGATAATCTGACATTTGTGTTATAGTTACCCAAATTTAGAGGTGCAATAAGTTTTTGCAGTTTGGTGGTGACAGATTTATGTCCAACGTAGGTGGACAGTGATGGACAGGAGCTTAGATTGTAGGCACTGAGGTCCCTGATGGGCTTGCTTAAACACTAGCTACATCACCCATCCAATGAGCTTGAGGAAGATTGGACCATGATCAGTGCTTTTAGGGGTGGACCAGAGTGAAGACAGCTCCATCTACCCCTAGTTTATTTATGGCAAAGATTTCCAGAAGCAGCTTTTCTGCTACAGCACAAAATGTTTATAATTATGACAGATGTCTATCTAGGGAGAGATGTAACTTTAATCTCTTAATATATTGATTTGCAGCAATAACTATCTTAATTGATATGCTTTGAAATTCTTATACAAACCTTAGAAGAATATCCTGAAATGCATGATATTGTGTTGCTTTTTAAATAGTAAAATTACATTAAAAATTATGTACTTGGAATATAAGCGGAACAGTAGCAGCTAGTCCTACATGTTACATTAGGAAGGAAGTATGTCTTTTCTGTAAGCTTCTGTCTGATTTACATTACTGTAGTCTGCAAATGAGCAATTACCTATCAGTTACTAGATGTTTCTAATGGTCTATGAAGTGTCTATACATTGTAATAATAGAGTGAACATACGAAAGGGATTGCTTTGTATTAGTGCCAAAGGATGCTTCTTGAGGTTTCTGACATAATGTTTCAAGTTTACACCGTTCTCTTTTTTCCTTTTAAACAAAGAAATATTGTAATGGAACAGATCCTTAGTAAATAACATGCATTGCATGGAGATTGTCATAGCACAGTACCTCGTGGGTGCAAAGAAATATAATGTTAGTAGTCTTGTTTGCATATATTTTCCGTTGCATTTTCCCTTTGTACATGCAGTTTCTATTCACATGCAGATAATACACTTAATTTCTAATACCTGAAGCACTTGTTTAACCATATACTATATATGTGCAACCTAACAATTCATATTGTTAGGTTTCGTTTGGTTTAAAAAGAAACTTGGAGATAAATAAAATTGTGGTTAAAGAAAAAGTTATTTTCAGTAACTTAATTTATTGCTAGCAAAGTAGCAGGTATATTTGAAAGGTAATTTTTTTTGTGACTGCTTCTGGTGCATTAGGGAAATGTGGCAGTAACAAGCACGAGATCACTGCTTCTACACAATCAAGCTGCCATTTTTATATGATAGTTAATATTTAAATGGCATACTCCTGCATCTGCTGACAATTGGTATAATGGTAATACTTTATGAGTCAATATATATTTAATCAGTAGAAACTGTAAAAATTGATGAGAAATATATAACATAGATGCATTACAATGCGTAGCATCCTTCTTAAATAAGAATAGGCCTTTGTTGTTTTGTTTTTTTCAGTGTCCAAGTTATTGTAAAATTTCAGGTATTAGATATGTTAATTTTCTGCATCCAGAAGGTTAATTTAAAAACAACAACCCTCAAAACTCTGATGTGTGTTAAGAATAATAAAATTAGTTCACACCAGGCAAATATTTTCTAGTGGGATTTGAAGCACTATGAATTTTACTTACATGCTAAATTCTGACATGAAGCATGATGGCCCTATTTCAGAGAAAGATGGGTGCATGATTAATATGAAAATTAGGCAGATGCAAGTACCTGAACTAATAAGGTAGTCCTTATTCAGGCTGGACTACCTTCAGTAATTTCACCATTTTTCATATGTCAGCTCTGATGTGGGTTACTGGAAATAAGCAGTTCTGTAGAAAGCATTCCTTTCTACTTGGGGAATTTAAGGGCATCCAAGTACATATATTTATTTGGTAAAAATATGTACAAATAAGGGCACCTTTTAGGGTTTTCTAGTTTCTAATTTTGTATGAAATGAAAATGTATATTAATACACATGAAAACATCAAGAAAATAATGATTGTCATAATGCGAGTGAGGTTTAGTCATCTATTGTGAAGTAAAAAGTGCTTTATTCACTAGAGTATTGTAATTTGCATTTAAAAAAAAATGCTGATATTCAGAGGATACTGCAGCTCATTTTTTAAATAAATACATGCCTTTAAATGGAACAGGGTCTATCTCAGAAAATATCCCTATATCTTAAATATATTATAGAAAACCTCCTTTCTGAGGTACATAAGATTCATTTTTTCTCATAACCTTAATATTCTTCTAGAAAGCACACTGGTTGATCTTGAATTAGCATTAGTGATTTATTACATTTGGTGATTATCAATAAGAGATTGTTAAACAACAGCCTATCTGTTTCTTTTTAACAAATTGTCCGAAATATACTAGATTTGGGTTTGGAGGGAAGTAATTTAGATTTGGGTATTTGTTATTAACCTTTTAAAAATGTGTTACAATGCTGTTAATTGCCTTCCTGAAGAATCAGAACCTATAGGTTTGTATCATCTAAATGAAAATGCAGTATATTGCTGGGTCTGTTTTTATTTAAGATTTTTAAAAATCCATCCTTCAATCTACATTGTTGTTAAAAATAATGTGGAAATGGTCTCTTTAGGTAAAATGCATGTGCATTTTTGTGTATGTGTATTTTGCATTCCATGTGCACATTTTGTTGATAAGTGGAAGCTATTGTTGCATGTTAGTTGGTTTTTGCTTCATGCAGTGTACATTAAACTGTGTGCTTTAGGTTGAAAATAGTTGAGAGATAAAGGCCACTTAGAGCTTCATTCATATTCCTTGCCACAATGCCATTCAGGTTCCCGGTAAATCATATATACTAAAACTGGTCCTGAGTTATGACAGATATGACACTGCTCATATCTGAGTTATGACACTGCTCCTCTGAGTTATGACAGATATGACACTGCTCAGAGGGAGGTATCAAAATGCTTGGATGAACCCCAAGATTTGCTGCAGTAGGAAAAAAATATTTAGAGGGGGGACTCAAGCAGGCCACCATAAAACAGCCCAGTAAGGGCTGAGCATGCTCAGTGGCCACACAGTGTCTGTTGTGACAGTGAACAGGAAACGATGGAGAAGTAATGGAATGGAGAATCCAGAAAGAAGGTATGACTGGCTGTAACAGTGAACAAGAGCACGCCACACTGCGACACTTGAGTATAGGTCCCACTTGTAGTGTTCTTCAAACATGATGGTAGTCACAGAACAGAGTACTGTAGTTTAAGTTTCTTGCACAAGTAAATATCCTGCAACGTAACACCACAAATAACCAAAACAA